AATAGGTCTGTTATCCAGGGTTCCATGGCAAATTCCTGCTGTGCCAGTGACAGCACACTGCCCTCTCCTGACATTGATTGCCACCATTTAGATGATTCCCCGGTCAGCTATTAGGCCCTTCGCAGCTATTGGTGACTTCATATATTGCTTAGTTCTGCTCCTGGTTTTGTTAGGTTCAAAACCAGAACTGCTTTCCGGAACGCTGGGAGGACCGCTTTTTCTTTACTCGCAGCAGCATCCTCGAGGTGAAGATAGTACTGAGGTTGTTCTAAAGCTGTGGAGTCAAAACTCGCTTAAACGTAGAATGTCGAAGCACACTTAGGGAAGGTTTTCATTCCAAGTATTCCTGCAGCTTTGATGAGAATTTTACGTCTTACTGTCGCCAACGTGCTTCAACTACAAACTTAAACCTTCTGGGGGGGCTTTGCGCAGAGTCCGTGGATGCTGGATTTCTCCGGTGTCCATGCCACCACGCTCCTTGAGCCCCTCTAATTGTATTCATGAGGTGGCGCAGTGGTCGTCATCTTTTCCCTCGGCACTGTACTGGCACCCTCTCGATGGCGTTCATCCTACCCACCAGCCTCATATGCATTTCTAAACACACCTTAAACTGTTTCGCTCCTGTGCCTCCAAAACCCTCCTCCTGCTGCTCTCTGTTTCCCATGGGGCGGCATCACCCCCAGGCCTGAGGCTCCCCAGGGTGGCTCTAAGACATCCTCCCATGCTTACCCCTTGTCACAGTCTGTCAGCTCGAATCTGGTCCAGTCCCCCGGCCTTTGCAGAACGTGCCGGGGAAACAGATGAGCTGCAGTTGCAAGAGCCCCAGCTTCGGGGTCCAGGGGACCTGGGTTTGAGAACTGTCACTGCCGCACATTAAAAGTTCTTCCTCGCTGTTTCCTAGCCCGTAAATCAGAGATAGTTCTTGCCTTGTGGGAAAGTTGTGAGGAGAGACAGATGGTGAGGACATAGTTCATGACCAGCCCAGAGAAAGTATTCAGGATATGTAGCTCCTATTGCTTTGTTTGCCTTGAGACACTTTTGTCCAAAATGCTGTACATTCTACTCTTATGTATTAAAATCTTACCCATTCTTTGAGGGAGGTCTTGTCCAAATACTCCCTCACGGCTGACCTGCCCCATCAGTGGAGCTGCGAAGTCTCACCTTTCTCCCCACTCCTGTAACACCCTCTTATGTCACTCATGATGATGATGTTGGACCAGCTTACGTTGTCGATGTTGGGATGTGGGTCTGTGGCACATGACCTCATCCAGAGTCAGTGCTTGTAATAATAGCATTTGTTTATGAGGCGACTGAGCAGATACTATTGATTTTTCTGGGTCAACGGATGGAAAAGGGCATAAATAATCCCTAAAAAAAATGCTCCTTCAGAATCAGGTCTGCTTGACTTTGGAGTCACTTCCTGCCTCCTGCCTCCCCGCCTGGTCCTCCCAGGTGCTCAGCTCTCAGGCTTCTCTTCTCTCTCCGCACTTGCTCCCTAGGTCGTGTGTTTCTCGGTGAGGATGCTGGTTGGAGTTTTGCTGTAGGAGTAATTCTTTGCTATGAGACACGGTCCCAGACACTGCAGGACCTTTAACATCTCTAGCTCGTGCCCATTTAATGCCAGTGATGTTACTCTCCGACCCTGGGTCACCATGCAGCTGGAAACATTCCCACACGTGGCCTGATGCCGCCAGTTGAAAATCACTGCTAGCTGATCTCATCTATTCCAAGGCTTTAGCTGTCTGTATTCTAACGACTCGAAAATGTGCCTCCCCAGCTCGGCTCACTCCTGATTCAGGCTTACATAACCAGCTGTTGACCTGCCCCTGCCCAGTGGTCTAATAGGATCTCAAACCTGATTTGTCCAAAACTGAGCCCTCGATGTCGTCCCCCAGATCTCCGCTCCAGACTGCCCTGTCTCAGGAAGTGCCGACCGCATTCTGCTCATTGCTCTGGCTCAGCACCTTCTGGAGTCTTCCTTGATTCCTCTCTCTCCCAGCAAAGGCCCCTGGGCTCTGTCCTAAAGTATGTTTGTTATCTGACCTCTTCCCCCACCTCCAGCTCACTACCGTCTCTCAACCTGCATTACTGGAGTAGCCCCGCATTTGGTTTCAGCCTCCACCCTTGCCCATGTGCATTCCAGCAGGATGGTGTTAAAATCTGTCAGCCTCTCATCCCTGCTCTGCTCAGAGCCCTTCCAGGCTTCCCGAATTCTCACACTCGGGCCTGGAGGGCACTGCAGTCTCGGCCCTGCCCTTCCCCTTCGCTCATGCTACCCTGCCCCCACTCGCCTCCTTGATCTTCCACCGAACAGCAGGGCCTTTGCACTTGCTGTTCCCTGAGCCCGGAGTGCTTTTCCCCTGGATCTTGCTGACTCACTTCCTTCAGATACCTGCTTAAATGTTACCTCCTCAGAGAGGCCTTCCCTGACCACCCTTTCCAGACTAGCACCCCAGCCCCAACACACTCTTCCCCCCACCCTCCCAGCCCTGCTTTATTTTTCTTCATCGTTATTGGACTTATCTGTATCTGGGTGGGTGTCTGTTTATTGCTTATCTCCCTAACTGGCGTCTAAATTCCATGAGGTAGGGACCCTTCTTGGTCACGTTCTGTGCTTCATCTCCAGGACCTAAAGGAGGCCTGGCCTGTGGAAGGGGCTGGATCACACTGATTGATGAATGAATGTGACAGCCAGACACACACTGAGGTGGTTCTCACCTTGCTCTTCCTCCATCCTCCCTGCTTCAGCCTTTCGTTCCTGACCGAAGGGCGGTGGGCAGGTCACCCAGCACTGGTGCAGGATCTCCACCGGGCACTTACCCAGGGGGCACTCGTGCGGCTACATCAGCTGTTCTAGCTATTTCCCCTCCCCCAGGGTAAAGTAAACAGGCCTCTGAGCAGATGTAGGAATTTAAGCCCGTACTGATGTTTCTGTATTTGGTCTGTCACAGAGCCTTCAATAGATTCCACCTTATTTTACCCATGAGTCAAATACACCTTATTGTCTTGTTTCCCAGCCTATGGCAGAGTAGAAGGGGGAGGATGGCACCAGAGGCAAGCATGCTGACAGTTGTAGAGGTTGACAGCCTAACCGATGTGGAGAGACAAAATTCAAAAGCTGAGCAATCTACAGGCCCTTGGTGTTGTGGCGAAACCTATAGGCCAGTGTGATAGCGCGGCTCGCCTGTGGTTTTCAAAATAACGATGACTACGCAGACGTTGTTATTAAGGAAGGTGAATATCCTTTATTAGCACGTGTATCAGGCAGGATGTAAGAATCACTTATTGCGTCCTGCATAGAAGTTGATGGTGAGTTCTTTTATCATTGAGGAAACTGAGTCTCATGTAAGTTAAGTCATGTGCCAAGGTCCCCTTATTCAAAGCCCTAAAGACATCCGATGGCGAAAGGAATAAACCTCAGTAATCTGGAAGGTTTGCTGTACAGGTTGTTGTATCATTCCCTAAGTATGTTGGCTGTATTATGCACTTTCCCAGTTATGAGCTGACTGTATTTTTCCTTCACACTTGGCGTTTGCTGAGCTGCTGACTGTACTGAGATGTGTCTGGCATCTGTTCACTGTTCCCCAGGATCAGCAGCAGGCCCGCCAGTCCCAGCTCGCTCAGGATGAGCGCGTTTCACGCTCCTATCTTGCCCTGGCGACAGAAACCGTGGACATGTTCCATATCCTCACCAAGCAGGTCCAGAAGCCATTCCTCAGACCTGTGAGTAGAACCTTGGGGGTATTTGTTTTGTCTGTTGGATTCCACATTCAGAGTCTATCACTTATAACTAAATAGAGTAGTTGTTGAAATCCTGGGTGTTTCAGCACCACAGTCACGGATCAGTGAAATTCTGTTACTGATTTTCTTCCCAGTTATGGTAATTGATACACACAACATTCTATCGATAGTCTGTGCAGTCTGCCAAAGGTCACTTCCAAGATAACTTATATCACTTTCTGCTGAGACAGCACATTGGATTATTAATGTTGAAGCTGTGACATATTTTTATCATCGTCGACTCCAGTATTTTATTTATAGGAAAAGTATAGGTGACATCAATTGGAAATGAGACTATATTAAGTAGAAATAATTGATAGTATATAAGAACTTTGGTTCTCTTCCGTGTTTAGTCCAAGCGACCCCTGCCCGGCCTCCATGTTTAATGATAGGTCAAAGGTAGCCAGATTGTTTGGCCGTGACTTGATTGATGAGACCGGGATCCTATTTCTGAAATCGAAACTGAGGGGCATAAATGAAGATCTCTGCTTCTCTTCAACAGTCCGCCGCAACACACACACACACGCACGCACGCACACACACACACACGCACGCACGCACACAAACACACACACAGAGTTTAGAAGTCTTATGGTGGGGCCGGGGCAAGGATAGTGAGGAAGGCAAGAAAGGGGCCTGAGATTTGGTAGTTACTTGCCCACATGGAGACAAGTTTACAGTGGGATATAATTTTACTACACGTTTCCTCCAGTTTCCCTGTTTACTTTCACCTCCATCATTATCACTACACCCTGTCCTACGCGCAACTCAAGAGATGAGCCCCCTCCTCTGTCCGCTTTACGTTTCATGTCTCTTCATAAATAGATTTCAGTGCAAGAGCAGCAGAACATGAAGCAAAACAGTGCATCACTGAAAGCGTGAGAACCCTCAACTCCTTTAGATAAGGTACTTCAGACACTTGCTTCCCTTAAAGGTTTGCAAATGGACTTCTTTAAACTTTTTCTATAAAGGCCAGACAGTAAATGGTTTAGGCATTGTAGGCCACATGGCCTCTATTGCAGCTGCTAGCTTTGCTGTTGCTGTGTTCCAATAAAACTCCATGAAGTGAGGCATCAGGCCAGATATGTCTTGCAGCTAGCAGTTTGCCAATCCCTGCTCTAAGTCATGTTTTATTTTGTGTTCAGCTACTCCGATGGCAGTGCTCTTTGATTGTTCAGAAGGTCAGAAACTATAAAAATTACTTGAGACTAAATTATCATAAAGCCTATTTTTAGTTCTAAATTCTTCATTTTTTGTAAAGGAAATTATTGAAAGCTAAGTCTGTTATTTTCATGTCAATTAAAATTAATGTTTTTCAAGACCTGCTCTTTGATCTGAGCTCTCCATACACCTGGGTCACAGTCTTCTGCCCCACAGCCTTTGCCTGTGCCTGCTTTGATCTTTCCTTTTCCTTTGCTGCACTGTTTTCACCTTCTTTGCTGGTTAACACAAAACTCTCCCACTTCAGGAAAAAAAAAAAATTACCAATTATATCCTATTCTTATCCCTCCTTTACCTCACGGTTTCTTAACAGTTAAATACAGGAGTACTGGGCTTCCCTGGTGGCACAGTGGTTGAGAGTCCGCCTGCCGATGCGGGGGACACAGGTTCGTGCCCCGGTCCGGGAGGATCCCACATGCCGCGGGACAGCTGGGCCTGTGAGCCATGGCCGCTGAGCCTGCGCGTCTGGAGCCTGTGCTCCGCAACGGGAGAAGCCACAGCAGTGAGAGGCCCGCATACCGGGAAAAAAAAAAAAAAAAAAAAATACAGGAGTACTTTTTACTTTGTGCAAAAGCAGGTCCTTTAGAAGCCAAATTTAAGTTGAATTTGTATAAATCCAGTCACGAAATTTAATGAAAACCTTGTTACTTAAAGAGAAGCCTTTCACAGCTCATTTTTTATGGCCGGTGTTTAATACTCGGTAAGTCAGGTTTTCCTATTTGAGGTTTGCTTAAAGCAATGTATGCCCACCTATAGTAGGTACTGTATCATCTTGTGGGGTTATAGCATATTATTTCATAATGAGTTTTTAGTTGTTTCATTTAAGTCTTGTCTCACTGGCTAGATTTAAAACTATTCAAGACATAAATTTTATCTTCTATCTCTTTTATATTTCTTCACTCTTTGCATCTGATAAATAAATAAGAATAGTGCCTATTGCCTGAACTCTCAGGGACTTGAAATTTATAGAAAAATAATACATAAAATGATGGCTGAAAGAGCATACTCCAGAAACTTCCATGACACGTGTGATGATGATGGAATTATGAATAGTTTTCCTCTTTTACCTATTAACAAATTCGAAGTGATCCTTGCTTTTATAATTAAAGCATGAATTTAATGAAAATGTTGCCTTTTGGGTATTTATGAATATTCCATCAGCATATGCAACATTCTATGAAATATTAGGATTACTGGATTAGGCAGGGAGAGTGAAGGAAAGTTTGAATGAATGTTCACCTTCAGCGTGTGATACAGCACATATAAGGGATTCTTTGAAGATTGAGCCTCTGCCAATTCCTGTTCCTCCACTGAAATGGGAGTTTTGGGTCCTTCTTGCTTGTCTCAACAGCATGAATTGTCCTATTATCCTGTGATTTCCTAGGAACTCGGACCCCGATTGGCTGCGATGCTGAACTTTAATCTTCAGCAACTCTGTGGTCCTAAGTGCCGTGACCTGAAAGTTGAAAACCCTGAGAAATACGGCTTTGAACCAAAGAAGCTGTTGGACCAACTGACGGATATTTACTTGCAGCTGGACTGTGCCCGGTTCGCTAAAGCCATTGCTGACGACCAGGTTAGTGCCCAAGGGAACAGTTTCAGAGGGAGCCTGGAGTTCAGGCTTCTGAAGTGGGTGACTTGAGTTTGCTTCCCTGTGGATTTCCCGGCAGACCCTGCGCGATTACATATCCGTCTGTTCTTGGATTTTCCCCGCTTGAAATCAAGGAAGGTGACACTTTTCAAAATGTGGTTTGAGAAGTTTTTAGTATGTAAATAGAAATAATGGCCACAGTGGCAAGGGGAACTTGTCTGGTGTAAATGGATGTGACTCGGTTGTTTTCCTTTGGGCGTAAAGAGCAGATTTGCCTCTCAGATCCGTCTCCAGTTGAGTTTGTACACATCTTGCTAAGGGCCTCGACAAATCGGTTACATTTCCAGAAAGAGCCTGGTTTTCGCAGGGAATCCAAATCTTCTTCCCAAGAAGGAGATTTAATAACAGCTTCAGTGCTGCCGTTATTTCTGTGGTTCCAGGTTTCAAACCGTGTACGTTATCTTTACATTCTTCCCTCCTTTATTCCTTGTGTCCCTCTGATCGTATCCATTTTGTGGTTTTCATTTTCACAGCTAGCAGTTTAGTCCAAGCGACCCCTGCCCGGCCTCCATGTTTAATTTTTCAGTATCTCATAAAGGGCTTCCCCTCCCTCCACGTTCCTGTGTCCTGCAACATCTTCAGCGTTATAATAACTGATGTTTATTAACCACGCAGCAAGTTTTAGCCACTTTTCATGTTTTCACTTGTAATCCTCACAAAATCCTACAATTTAGGTTTAGTTGGATTCCTTGCTTTACATGGAGGCACACAGAGGTTAAAGAGCTGCACAGTTGATGTGAGGCAGAGGCAGGATTCCCACCTGGCAGTCTGGCCCTGAGCCCATGTTCTCAGCTTCTCTGCTCTCCACTTAGAATGCCCCCAAAGTGCCATGTCTGTTTCAGTCTCTGCATCTTTGTTCACATTATTTATCCAAGTATTAACTCACATCTCAGGGTAACCATCACTAGGCATTCCAGAAGGTTCTTTACTTATATCTCATCCAAAGGTCAAAATAGGGGAATTGTAGGTACTTTTTATTTTTCAATAACAGCATTATTGAGGTCTTGACAAAGCACCTGCAATGGAAAAAACCACATATGTCTAAAGCAGTTTTTCCATAAAAAGTCGTGGTAAAAGAGCAGGTTAGGTGCTTGCAGTTACTTTGGGTAGATGCTAAAATGATTCTCTAGCCTACGACTGTATGATGCTGCACATATTGAGAAATGGAAGATAAGCGGTAGCCTTAAGAGGGACAGGAAATGGAAACGCTCCCCAGGCAAGGTCAGGTGGTCTGCTTGGGCAGCAGGCCGGCTGGAACTGGGCCTCTCTGGCCCAACCAGAGGTCGGGTGTGAGGAGTCCCCAGGGACTCCTCCGCTTTCACTGTCAGGGACTCAGAAGGGTCGTTTAGCCGGCTCCCTCTTCTGGTAGGTCTTGCTGTGGCTACCACATCGCAAGCAGTTATAACACGTAACATAAAGTTTGCAGTGTGCATGAGCACAGCACACCCAGTGAGACGGTGAAAACCAAGTGGGTGACAAAGGAGTGTTTCCAAGTTCTTCCAGCTGCCTTTCCTTGGTGACCAACAGAACGTCCACACTGCTTGGTAATGCCTATGGATTGTGGTGGTGGCACAGGTGGTGGCCTGTGGTGGCACGTGGCTTGAGTCACAGGCAGCGGTTTCTGCACAGTGGCACATGGGTCTTCTCAAATGTCTAAATAGCCCGGTTCTTCCAGACACGTGAAGCAGGCACACAAGTGCCAGTGGCACAGTGGAGAGAAAAACACTTTTTAAGTGGTTTCTTTGCTGCCTTGTACAGTGTGGCGTTTGTCTTGATTGTTGGACACTTTCCATTTATACGGGCTGTAAGCTGATGAGGGGCCTGCCCACTGGATTGTTTCGGAAGAGGGGCTGGTGGGGGGCTGGGGGTGGAAGGGTGGAAGACTAGAAAGCTCCAGGGAGGTGGTAGAATTTCGTCTTCTCCCTTGGGAGCAGTGCTTTTGCTTCGCTCTGGTTCTGTCTGGTATGTCTTGTTTCCCTGGGAAGACAGAGGAGAAAAAAAACAGCAGCCGATCAAGGGAAGAAACTGAGAGCCTTCTCTCCTGTGCACCGAGAGCGGGCGGAAGACAGGTGCCCGGGAGAGGTGACAGGAGGCCCCAGCGCGAGGAGCCCTGAGCCTTACACTCACAGGCCTGAGGAGAGAGCCCCTCGTCAGAGAGGAAGTGCGACAGGACAGTTGTCCCTGGAGCCCAGAGAGCCCAGGAGAGAGAGAGGTCTTAGCCTGACACAGTGAGCTGCACTGAGGGCCAAGTCTGCCTGTGGTTTCCGGGCAGATGGACGGCAGATCTGTTGTTCATGGAGCGCTGTCTGTTAACACCATATTCCATTAAATAACAATAGTAGTAAAGAGCCCATGTAATGGGGACTTCCTGGTGGTCCAGTGATTAAGACTTCGCCTTCCAGTGCAGGGGGTGTGGGTTCGATTCCTGGTCAGGGAGCTAAGATCCCACATGGCTCCCGGCCAAAAAACCAAAACATAAAACAGAAGCAATATTGTAACAAATTCAATAAAGACTTTAAAAAGATGATCCATATCAAAAAAAAAAAAGAAAAAAAATATCTTGGGATTTCCCTGGTGGTCCGGCGGTAAAGAATCCACCTTGCGGGCTTCCCTGGTGGCGCAGTGGTTGGGAGTCCGCCTGCCGATGTAGGGGACGCGGGTTCGTGCCCCGGTCTGGGAGGATCCCATATGCCGCGGAGCGGCTGCTCCCGTGGGCCATGGCCACTGAGCCTGCACGTCCGGAGCCTGGGCTCCGCAACGGGAGAGGCCGCAGTGGTGGGAGGCCCGCGTACCGCAGGGGAAAAAAAAAAAAAAAAGAATCCACCTTCCAATGCAGGGACTGCAGGTTCAATCCGTGGTTGGGGATCCAAGATCCCACATGCCGCGGGGCAGCTAAGCTCACGCGCCACAACTACTGAACTCGCGTGCCTCAACGAGAGAGCCCGCGTGCCACAAACTACAGAGTCCTTGCACTCTGGAACCCGCGCACCACAACTAGAGAGAAGCCCACACACTGCAGTGAAAGATCCCGCATTCCTCAACGAAGATCCCTCATGCCGCAACTAAGACCCGATGCAACCATAAAAATTAAAATAAAAAAAAAAGAGCCCATGTGAAACCTCACTTCTACGCAGCGTTCTTTTTTTTTTTTTAGTAAATTTATTTATTTGGCTGTGTTGGGTCTTCGTTGCTGCACGCAGGCTTTCTCTAGTTGCGGTGAGCGGGGGCTACTCTTGGTTGCGGTGCGCGGGCTTCTCATTACGGTGGCTTCTCTTGTTGCAGAGCACGGGCTCTAGGTGCATGGGCTTCAGTAGTTGTGGCATGTGGGCTCAGTAGTTGTGGCTCACAGGCTCTACAACACAGGCTGAGTAGTTGTGGCACACGGGCTTTGTTGCTCCACAGCATGTGGGATCTTCCCAGACCAGGGCTCAAACCCATGTCCCCTGCATTGGCAGGCGGATTCTTAACCATTGTCCCACCAGGGGAGTCCTGCAGCCTTCCTTTTTTTTGAGGTGAAATTCACATAACATAAAATTAACCATGTTGAAGTGTATAATTCGGTGGCATTTAGTATATTCACAGTATTGTACAACCATCACCTCTAATGACCCCCACAAGGAAATCCCGTACCCATTAAGCAGTCAGTGTCCCTTCCTCCTCACCCCAGCTCCTGGCAACCACCAAACTGCTTTCTGTCTTTATTTTACCTGTTTTTACATTTATCTGTTAGCCTATTCTGAATATTTCATGTAAATGGAATCATACAATGTATAACCTTTTGTGTCTGGCTTCTTTCACGTAGCATGCTTTCGAGGTTCATCCATGTTATATATAGCATGTATCAGTATCTGATTCCTTTTTACAGCTTAATGTTTCGTTATATGGCTATACCATGGTTTGTTTATTCATTCATCCATTGATGGACATTTGAATTGTTTCCACCTTTTGGCTGTTATAAATAGTATCCTGTGAACGTTCATGTAAAAGTGTTTGAGTACCTATTTTCAATTCTTTGGGATATACTTAGGAGTAGAATTTCTGAGTCATATGGTAATTCTATGTTTAACATGCCCACCAGCAGTGTACGAAGGTTCTAATTTCTCCACATCCTTGCCAACACTTGCTATTTTCTGTTTTGTTTTTTTATTTTTAAATAGCCACCCTAGTGGGAGTAAAGTGGTATTTCACTGTGGTTTTGATTTGCATTTCCCTAATGACAAATGTTGTTGAACATCTTTTCGTGTACTTGCTGGTCATTTGTATATCTTTTTTGAAGAAATGTCTGTTCGATCCTTCATCTTTTTTTTTTTTTTGGCAGCACCAAGCAGATTTGTGGGATTTTAGTTACCTGACCAGGGATTCAACCCAGGCCCTCGGTAGTGAAAGCACGAGTCCTAACCACTGGACCACCAGAGAACTCCCCTTCATCCATTTTTTATTTTATTTTTTATTTATTTATTTTTGGCTGCATTAGATCTTCATTGCTGCACGCGGGCTTTCTTTAGTTGCGTCGAGCGGGGGCATCTCATTGCGGTGGCTTCTCTTGTTGTGGAGCACGGGCTGTAGGCTCACGGGCTTCAGTACTTGTGGCGCACAGGCTCTAGAGTGCAGGCTCAGTAGCTGTAGCGCACGGGCTTATTAGTTGCTCCACGGCATGTGGGAATCTTCCTGGACTAGGGCTCAAACCTGTGTCCTCTGCATTGGCAGGTGGATTCTGAACCACTGTGCCACCAGGGAAACCCCTATCCATTTTTTAAATTGGATTCTTTCTGTTTTGTTCTTTATATATTCTGTGTGAGTTCTTTATATATTCTGGATACTAGCCCTTTATCAGATATATGATTTGCAGATATTTTTATGTTTAATTTCTGTAGCCATTCTGTGAGATCCTTGAAGTCAAGAACAACATCTTGGGACTTCCCTGGTGGTCCAGTTAAGAATCAGCCTGGGCTTCCCTGGTGGCACAGTGGTTAAGAATCTGCCTGCCAATGCAGGGGACATGGGTTTGAGCCCTGGTCCGAGAAGATCCCACATGCCGCAGAGCAACTAAGCCCAGGCGCCACAACTACTGAGCCCGCATTCTAGAGCACACGAGCCACAACTACTGAGCCTGTGTGCTCTAGAGCTCGCGCGCTGCAACTGCTGAGCCCACACACCATAGCTACTGAAGCCCGTGCGCTCTGGGCCCCGTGTGCTGCAACTACTGAAGCCCGCGTGCCTGGAGCCCGTGCTCTGCAATGAGAGAAGCCACCGCAATAAGTCCGTGTGCTACAACAAAGCATAGCCCCCACTCACCGCAACTAGAGAAAGCCACAGACAACAACTAAGATCCAGCACAGCCAAAAAAAAAACCACAACATCTTTGCTTCCTCTCTGACACCATCCACACTGAACTTGAAGCAGCAGCTCAGTAATCCGTATTTGGTTGATTCATTGACACCACTGCTCTTTGAAACTGAGTGCCATGTTCCCTTATCATAAGTACCCTTTGATTTCTTTTTTCTTTTTTTTGGCTGTGCTGGGTCTTGGTTGCTACTCACAGGCTTTCTCTAGTTGCGGCGAGCGGGGGCTACTCTTCGTTGCGGTGTGCAGGTTTCTCATTGCGGTGGCTTCTCTTGTTGCGGAGCATGGGCTCTAGGCACGTGGGCTTCAGCAGTTGTGGCACACGGGCTCTAGAGCGCAGGCTCAGTAGTTGTGGCACACGGGCTTAGTTGCTCTGCAGCATGTGGGATCTTCCCGGACCAGGGCTCGAACCCATGTCCCTTGCATTGGCAGGCGGATTCTTAACCACTGCGCCACCAGGGAAGTCCCTAGCCTTTGATTTCTGATAATGCTCACTCCACTGCTCTATCTTAGAAGTTGACTTAACAGCAGGCAGAAGTCAGTTGGTTAAAAACTCAATCATCTTTTGAGAAATAGAGTGGGTGATATTTTCGAGAATAGTAAATGGGCTAAGAACGACTACTTGTTTACACAGAGAAGTTCAAGGTGAATCGTCTCAGTAGTGTGGATAGCAGCACCCACCCTGTGCGTTTTTGCCCTTCCAACATCTCACCATAAGCCTTTGGCCGTTCATCCCCTGTGCCTCTTCCCAAAGGGACAGGGACTGCAGCTTACCTGGCTCATAATAAGTAGACACCAAATAAAGTATCTGTTGACCTAATGTAGTCATTTAGTTTCAGAAAACTGTAACCGAGGCTCTCTGAACTTTTCAAATTATTTTAAAGGATGATTGCCAGGCCCAAGCGCCCTGCTGGCTTTTTGTCCTCTCCTCTCTTTTCCCGAGTTGCATGGATTAAATAAGGGGCGTGGCTGTGTGTGGAGAGAGAAAGTGAGCATGTGCACTTATTTAGAAACTGAAGTTAAAAAAGAACAGAAGAAAGACTGAGGACTTTCATTCCAGCCTTCTAAGGGAACACAAGTATTGAGATGAGTTCATCCCATGATGTTCATGTGAATCCTCGTTTAGAAATCACAGGTCACAGATTATGGTCCTATCGTTCAGAGTTTCAGATTTAGTCATTCCCCTCCTCCATTTGCATCACTGTCACTAAAGTGACAAGCATGCAGTGTTTTTGCCGTAAATGCAAAATACGATATACTTTTGATATTTTGAAATGGCAGTGCTTTATATAAATTAGGCACCTGTGGGGTAGGTGTTACTACCCCCATTTTACACCTGAGGAAACTGGGGCTCAGGAGAGTTCGAGCTTTCTCTAAGACCACGCAGCAGGTAGATGGTAAAGCCAGGATTGAAACCCAGGCTTGCCTGGGTCTTTGGTAGGCGCTTGCCGTGTAGACCAGCCCTCCCACTCTCACAGGCATAAACCCTGTCTGCTCCCGTCAGTAGAGCCCCTGACATTTAACAGCGTTGAACTGAGAGATCTTAAATAAGGATTGACAGGGAATGGGAGAACGCGCTTGTTGATTATGAACTGTACTGGGTTGTTTTCACCATGTTTACCTTTAGGGAAAAGAACTGAAATTTCCAGCTCCTCTCAGGCTGCGAGGGCTCAGTGCCTGGCAAGGACTGAAGTAGACTTTCAGTCCTTCTCTTTTTTTAATATTTAAATTTTAAGAGAAATGGATGTTTGCTATAAAAGTAATTAAAGCTTTTTAAAATTCCCTTCATTTGCCTCAATCCTGAAGCCCTTTCCAGAGGCCTTGTACAGTTTGGTGCGTATTAGCCCAGTCTTTATGTATTTATAGCCATGTCAAAGTATTTATATATGTACATTATAATTTTAGGGCTTTTTTAGAAAACAGATGATGCTTTGGGTATTTTCTGCAGCTTGCTTTTTTCCACTTAAAATATATTTACGTCTCACAGTGTCTTTCCTCATTTTCAGAGATCCTACAGCAAAGAATTGTTTGAAGAAGTTATTTCGAAGATGCGGAAGGCAGGGATCAAATCCACAATAGCGATAGAGAAGTTTAAACTTCTGGCTGAGAAGGTGGAGGAGATTGTGGCCAAGAACGCGCGTGCAGAGATCGACTACAGTGACGCCCCGGACGAGTTCAGAGGTGAGTGGGCCCGCTTTTTTCACGTGGGATTCTTTGATTTGAGTTAACTTGAAACATGCAACATTAGAAGAGGACGTTCTGCGCTCTCATTGCTTTTTTTTTTTTTTTTTTTTTTTTGGCTGCCTTGGGTTTTCGTTGCCGTGCGTGGGCTTTCTCTTGTTACGGCGAGCGGGGGCTACTCTTCGTTGCGGTGTGCAGGTTTCTCATTGCAGTGGCTTCTCTTGTTGCGGAGCACGGGCTCTAGGTGCGTGGGCTTCAGTAGTTGTGGCACGTGGGCTCAGTAGTTGTGGCTCGCGGGCTCTAGAGCGCAGGCTCAGTAGTTGTGGCGCAATGGCTTAGTTGCTCCGTGGCATGTGGGATCTTCCCAGACCAGGGCTCGAACCCGTGTCCCCTGCATTGGCAGGCAGATTCTTAACCACTGCACTGCCAGGGAAGCCCTTCTCATTGCTTTTTGAGACACTTGGTCAGAAATTGAAATTCTGTTTATCTACCTTTAGTTCATATTATAAATTACAAGAGAAAAAAGTCCTCAGCCTGATTTCAAACCAGATAACAACCCTGAAGATTCTAAGGTCAACCTTGCCTTTGAAAGTGGGGACTCATGTTTTCAAAGAATTCTGAGAAGTCCTAAGAGGAAAGGTTGATTCTAGCCTGCCATCTTCGCCATACAGCTCGGGAGGGCCTGTCTGTCCTGCTGTCCTTTCTGTCTGTTCTTTCCTCCCAGCAGTAGCTGACAAAAGGGTGCTTTCCCTCTACAAAAGGTGAAGGATATGCCTTTATCTAATGCTGATTTCCTTCTAAACTTGGGGGCCTGGTAGGGGCCATTTGGTTGCTGTTTCTATGGTTATATTTTTCACTGATAGGAGGGAATTTGTTTTCTTTTTCAGTTTTAGACTCTATTGTTAGATCAGAGTTTGCTTTGCTTTGTCTCCGTAGACCCTCTGATGGACACCCTGATGACCGACCCCGTGCGGCTGCCCTCTGGCACCATCATGGACCGCTCCATCATCCTGCGGCACTTGCTGAACTCCCCCACGGACCCCTTCAACCGACAGACGCTGACAGAGAGCATGCTGGAGCCAGGTAGTGGAGGGCATGGCTCGAACTGCAGAGGCCAAAATCGTGTATCAGAGAGTAGTCAAAAGGGGGAAATTTAACAAATCCAGACACTACATGGTTTCTGACACTTAATGGACAAGACATAAAACATTCTTTGCTCTTTTCCACTACAGAATTCCGGTTCTTACTTTTCGTGTCCTATTTCTTCTTCAGCCTTCAGTTCAGTGAGGGAATGAATTGCCTTTTCTTTCCTTTTATACAGAACTACAAGCATCATCTCTCAGGAAGAGCCCTCCCATCTGGGGTATTCATTCTTTCCTTTCTTTTCTCAGTGCCAGAACTGAAAGAACAGATTCATGCCTGGATGAGAGAGAAACAGAACAATGATCATTAAACCATCCCCCGTGCCCACCCTCTGCGAGAAACAGCCAAGGCCGGCGAGGCAGGCAGGAGCAGCATCGGTGGTGCAAATGCTGTTCACATGTTGGAGGCCAGAAGTGACAAAATACACCAAGAGCCCACCCAGAGTGACCAAACAGTGGAGACCTGAAAGGACATGAATAAGAAGAGGAGCCCAATTCCTGTACATATATTTAAGTGACAGACGTGGTCAAAAGCTTGAGGGATACGTTTTATGATTGCTTGTGTAATAGAGCACGTCCTTCATATGTCACAATTTGGGGCTTTTGCTACGGAAGTCTTTTAGTGATTGATGACGAATGGGTCTGGGCAGCATCCCCTTCATCCTTTTTTTTTTTTTTTTTTTTTTCCTAAATCCAGTATCCGTTGGTTTTGATTGTGATTAGAGAACCTTGGACATTTTGCTGCTAAGACTCTTCCCCCCGCCGGCCCCATCCTGATCCTACTTGCACTGCTGTGGATTTTTTTAAGAGAAGCAAAAACAAAAATAAACTCTTTTCCCTGGCCCTCCAAACATTTATTCTGTGAGATAACTGTGCCTGCAACAAAGTGTTAATCCTGGGATCGTATTTTTATATCATATTCACATATTTGTTTTTTTAATTGGTGTTAGATGACATGATTAATAAAAAAGGCAAGATATTTTCAGAATTTGAATTTTAGTTTTTTTTTTTTTTTATTATTTTGAAATGTCCCTTAAATTTTTTTTTTATTCTAAACAAAATGAAGAGAATCCTGTTGCTCTGGTCCTTGTAGTGAGTCCACGATTAGGAATCTGAGGAACAGCTGCAGCAAAGGAAGCGTTTAAGTGTATCAGTATTTCGCGTCTTACGGTTTGGGGGTGGTTGGGTTATTTTTAATGCTGTGTGACAGTTGGAAACCTTTATAGTTATCCTGCGAGGGTAAATAAATTCCTCAACCCTTGAGTCTGTGAGTTCAAGGCAGGGGTCGTTTGTATGATGTGTCCTGTGGGGCTTGGCCTTACCAAAGCAAAAAAGGGGTGCAAGAAATGTGGAAGTATGTCTGCTTGTAAAAACACACACAAAGAAAAACACACACACACACACACACACACACACACACACACACACATAAACATAAGATTTTTTGTATTACTACTCCCTACTTACCATACTCGGATTCTTGAATCTCCTTTGGGGTAAAAAACGATTTGAAACCATAAGGCGTTTTGAAGAAATTAAGTCTACAAACACATACTTTCTTTTTCTTTTTCTTTCTTTCCCGCTCCACAGACAATGTCCTCTGTTCAGTTCCTAACGCAAACTACAATAAATGGTGATACACATTCAGAAGGAATCTTCTTTGAGTCTCTTCTTTTTGTGGAAAACAAAGGGGTGGGTGAAGACCAAGAGCCAGATGTGTTGGCATGTGGTACATGATCTTTCCTGGAGCCAATTAGGAGTTGCAGTTTTCAAAATAAACCTCTCCTATTGTGTCAGTCTTGATGCTCCAGCTGGTTCTTGTGTCACTGTTTGCTTGTTCAAGGGGGTTGAGCTTTGTCATGTTCAGTCTCTTCAGTTCTCAGGTGGTTACCCTACTGCAAATATATTTTCCCTGACCTTGAAAATTTTTGCTCAAGTTCAACCCATCTCATGAACATTATCTTAGGTACTGCAGTTGATGAAACCTTACCTACCAGCTCATGTAATAAGAGCAAGCGTTTCTGCAGCATTTACTGTGTGCCAGCCTATGCCAAGGCCTTTACATTTATGATTTCATTCTCTAAGATGGTACAATCATCTTTGTTTTTTTCCAGCAGGTCAGGGTGTGGGATATGGAGTGGTTAGGTCACTTGCCCAAGGTCACCTGGCCAATTAGTGGAAGAGCCGG